TTTAGCTGGCATTACCCGTCGTTGCCCGCTTTCAGTTTCTGGCTTACATTTTTACAACTGGATTTACGAAAATGTGTGAAACGAGTCTCAAGTGCATTTTCATAGGAACCTTTGCAGTCGCCTTTGCTGGTAAGCGTTAAAATGTCATAAAACCGTTTTCCACCTATTTTCCACAGTTGCACGTGAAATCGCATTATCTCACAGACACTATTTTTCTGCTTGTACTTTTTTGCACCCTTGTTAGCCATGAAATGCGCCCATTTAAAAAGGACAAAAAGGGTATATTGGTGTTTAGCTGATGAATGTAACAGGCAGCAGGAAGCATCTCCAACTCCATTGGGTTCATAGATTTTTGATAAGCATCAACAATCGAGTTGATCTAATCATGTGCCGCTGCCTGTCCGTCTACCCGTCCGTCTATTCGTCTGTCCTTCTGTCTGTCTGTCCTTCTATATGTATGTGTAAGCCCGTCGATTTCAGAATCTAGAAGAGCTAAAGGCATTGAATTTTAAACGTAGTTCCTTTTATTCCCCGCGCAGTACGAGTTTGTTTCCGATAATCGATAACTTTTCCCATTGCCAAGCAATCGATAAAAATCGATATCGAAATTCCGTAATTTCAGCAAATCTCCTAGGTTTTAAGAGCTAGAGTCAACAAGTTTGATATCTATAGAATAGTGATACTGATCAAGTATAAATATGATCCACAATAAGAACTAGCCAACAATTTAAGATCTTATGCGGTTTTTAATACCCTGAACCCATTAAAAATGGGTATAAGGGTATATTGTAATTGTGCGAAAGCCAAATGTATGTAACAGGCAGAAGGAAGCATCTTCGACCCCATAAAGTATATATATTCTTGATCAGCATCAATAGCCGAGTCGATCTAGCCATGTCCGTCTGTCTGTCCGTCCGTCCGTCCGTCCGTCTGTCTGTCCGTATGTATGAACGCAAGGATCTCAGAACCTATAAGAGCTAGAGACTTGAAATTTAAGATGTAGATGCTCCTAGATCGAGTTTGTTTCCGATTATCGATAACTTACTCCGTTTCCAAGCAATCGATAAGATTCGATATCGATATCCTGTTTTTTGGGCAATTTTGGTAAATAATAAGAGCTAGAGTCACCAAACTTGACATATAGCTTCTAAAATAGAATATATATATGAATTTGATGTTGGAAGAAGAGGGTTCAGGGTATTCCCTAGTCGGGAGCTCCCGACTAGAACCTCTTACTTGTTTTTTATGTTTTCGCTACGACAAAGCAGAGCACAGCACGAGCTGCATTTGGCATTGGTAGACGACGGGGTCATCATCACAAAAGGTCAATCTCTAGATCAAATATTTATCAGCTTGACTTATCAGATATACCCTAGAACACTTTTGCTTGCCATTTGTTGTTAGAAATTTTGTTTGTGTTTTTTTTTTCCATAAACTTAACAGATTTCTTTTACAAAGTGCCGAGATGTCGCCCACAACAAAGACTTAACACTTGTTACCATTTCTTTCGGGTTTTCTCTTGGCTTTTGTTGCTGCTCAGCTTGCTTTGGCTATTTGTGGATATGCCCAAAAGGCCCAAGCTCGATGGGGGCCAGAAGAAACCTGTCAAGCCAGAAAGCTGGTTCTTTGGCGACGATCTCGACATAAATGTTAACGGTCATTCACCATGTGAGGGGCGAGGCGAGGCGAGTCGTTGCCCAAAACAATGCCGAGCTGTAGACAATTATTTATTGTTCTGCTTCTTGGTCTTGTTCTGGTTCTTTTGACTGAAATTTTGTTGGATTCCACTTTAGCTCGAACTTCGAATCAACGAAGTTTCGGGAATGAACAAAAAAAAAAACAAGAACTGAATCACTTGATATGCAAAGCAACAAAAGAATGAGAATATATCTATATATATATATATATATATATCTATTGTGTGGTTCGCCATGTGACATATTTATTTATTTCAATGCCCTCAACAATCCAATAATAACCTCTGATCAGTTCTCTTTTCTTTATTTTTTTACATTTTGTATTTGCATTGATTCCATTTCGAAAGTCTGATATTGTGCAAATAGCTGGCAAAACAGATTCGCAGCACACGCTTTCTGCGGGGTAAATCAACTAAATGTTGCAATTCGTCAATTCGTCAATATATTATTTATTTTATTTATTATTTATATAAACATATTGTGAAATATTTCTTACATTTTACAAGAATTTTAATACGAAGCTGGTTGATACGTATCTCACATAATTTTTGATGCTTAGGCATCTCTTGATCTCTATACATAAAACTGTTTGTCCCGAATTACTGATTGATTGACTGATTGACTTACTGATTGACTGATTGACTCACTGACTGACTGTCTGATTGATTGACTGACTGATTGACTGACTGACTGTAGTTACTCTTTACGATAGACGATTGTGTGGAAAAAACGCGAAAAACATTTATATACAACTTTTTTATTCGACAACCGATCGGCCTCAAACTCATTTTCAAAGATCTTTGTTCGAATTCATTTGAAAGCTGTTTCACACTTTTCGGAAAATCAATTTGTGCTTGGCGGAAATGGGGATCAATGATTTGTTCTTAATGAAGTTTGGTGGAAAATGCGGATGAAAGATTTTGTTGCGCGAAGTTTAAGTTTTCGTCCAATCGACTTCATATCTATTTTTAAGGTCCTACCTAAGAACTTAATGAAAATGTGCTCAAGTGTTTCCGCACGAAACAAAATGAATACGAACAAGGCCGGGTAATAATCGTTAATTTTTATCGATCTTTGTTTTCGATTGTTTATTATTATCAATGAAAATGTTAGAAGGTATCGAGAAATAAAACTATATATACTGGAATTTTGTAAATATTACAAACTTTAATAATCTATAAAAAATGCGTGCTTCTAAGTTCTCTACAAGTGGCTAATATGTTATAACGATATCTCAGGATCTTATCAAGCCAATGTATGAAAAATTGATTTATGTTTTAATGAAGGCTTGTACTTTTCGAAAATAATCGGTTCATTATTGGGTTCGGTACATTGCGCGTAGTATGCGATGAAAGACAAGGCTCTTTTAAAATAAATGCAAAAAAAGTATTTAAATGAGCGTTCATCAAAGCTTGTAAATTAAAGAGAGCATAAGATCTTCGGACAGATTAGGCTGCCTAGTTTTGTTTTTTTTTTCTACAGGTTTCTATTAGCTGAACAACTTAAGGCGACAGCAAACACATGTCGACTGACAGCCGCAAGAAGGGGCTACTGCAGGTGGCCCGGGCGCGTCGGGGCAGGGAAGGCAGCCACAGACTCAACTCCACGCAAGTGAACTCGTTGGCATTGACCGCAAATAAAAACGCAAACACTCGTCAGTTGGCAAAAAACAAAAAATAGTAAGCAAAAGAATAATTGGCAAACACCTTAAAAGATTTAGAAGCGCAAAGATTTTAGTCGAGTGGCCAATAAAATGTCAAATGGAAGTCAGACAAATGCTCGTCAGATCGAGACGTGCTCGACTCTGACCCGTTAAGCAGGTGTCATAACTAACTGGCAATTACATGTTCACAAATATGGCAACCGAATATATCTTTTTTTATTTCATGTTTTTGACGCATTTTTCTCTCCATCACAAATCTCAAGTGCCGCAAACGCCAAATGTTATATAGGGGCTGCAACAAATTGACATCGAGACCATATAAGCACATCATTTGAGATTGTAGTTTGTTGCGAAATAACTCGGGAACTCTTGAAATGAATGTGAATCAAATTGGTATACGGCTTAGTTGGGGCATTTAGTTTTAGACAGCGTTTAATCTGCTGCTGGGCGTGGCATATTTCGCTAGGTACCTGAGGATAGCTCGGGATCTATTGAACTAAATAATGGAATATTTCGTATCTGCGTTGGGTAGGGCTTGCCATTTTAGAAAATGATTCGTTACTTGTTTGGTTCGGTACATGACGCGTAGTATTCGGTGGTAGCTGAGGTTCTATTAAACTAATATATCACGCATCTTTTTAATGGCATGCAAGAGAAATTCTTATTATGAATTTGCTCAGATTTTATGCTTTGGGAAGGCTTTGGCATAAGCCTATTCTATCTAATAGATAGTTTAACCAAATGTTATTGAAGTTCAGTCAAGCCATAACTAAGATATTTTACTGCAGAACAAGTTTTTGTATGGCTTTAGTGTATTACGATATCTCAGGATCTCATCAAGCCAATGTATGAAAAATTGATTTATGTTTCAATGAAGGCTTGTACTTTTAGAAAATAATTGGTTTGTTAATGGGTTCGGTATATTACGCGTAATATCCGATGAAGGACAGGGCTAACTTTATGAACAATATTTGACTGAGCTTCCATCAAAGCTTTTGAATAATTATGAAGGTACGCTTTAGGATCTGTGGAATGGCATTAAGGCAGCTTGCACTTTCAGAAAGTAATTGCGTTGCGTTACAAGGTTCGTTTTGTTGGACGTGACTAATTCAATTTGGAGCCGCAACGCAATACCGTGACCCAATTGTGAGCATGAGATATGACCCAATGGTAGATCTTTGAACCGTGAATAAAAACCACAGCTGTTGGCCACATTTGCCACGCCTGCGGTGCTGCCTGTCAATTGAAAGTGGGTCAAGCCACAGTCAAGAGTGTCAAATCCAAAGTCAAGATAAAGTCAAGCCAAACGAAAGACTTGACGGCTGACAATAATATATATATATACATATATATATATACCTGAGAAATAAAGGAGGCGGGCGATTAACTGTTACAGCTGCCACGCCCACGCGGCTCGAAAATGTTGGGTGGCTGAGCTTAGCCGGTTTTAAGAGCTTTTTCCATTTCTAAACTGGCAGCGGAGCCAGTTTCTTGCTTTCGTCTAATTTGAATATTGAAATATTGAAATATTTCTTGCAACCGGTTGCCAAGCCAAGGCCAATAAGAAGAAGCACAAGAACTTGACAATAAATATATTCAAAATAAAAAAAAAATAAAAAAAAATACTTCTGAAATCGATAACAATTAATAACATAGCTTTAATTAAGGTACATAAATAGCAGCCGTCAAATGGGCAATGTGGCGCCATCTGTGGGCGATTTTGGCGTTGCCAAAACGGGCCCCGCCCCGCGATGATGCAACAGCGGAGCATCAACCGTATCCAGTCCACCGAGAAGCGGATACTTCTGCTGGGCACTGCCGCTGGGCAACTCACGTTCCCGTGCTCGATAGTCATTGATATCGTTATCGTGTATCGGATCGTTGGGAAACTCGCTGGCCAAATGATAGATGACCTTCTGGAAGAGGAACTCGGACAGATTGGTGCGCAAAAAGAACAGGAACATCCAATTCGAGAAATTGCATTTCTCTATGATAGACTTCAGATCCGATTCATCCATTTTGCCGGGCTTGGCCCAGTACAGAGCACATTTGGTGAACGTAACGCTAAAAGAAGGACAATCAATTAATTGGATTTCTGGACAGATTTGTCTAGATATGTGTGAATACAGTGAGCTAAGGCTTAAGGGACAGAAACACAAGAATATCATAAGCACATATGTTTAGATGGATCATATGCAGATACAGATACATTGTGGCTGAAGTGAAAGATACTTTGATCTGAAGAGCCTAGAACATACTAAGGCTACTAAGGTCTGAGAGTCCTGGAAGCTGGATCCTTAAATTTAGACAGCCTTAATCGCAATTTTTATAGATAATACAAAGGTCCTAAAAAGCTTGAAGAGCTTGGGCCTGGTATGTTCTAGTTGATACAGATCAAGAATATGTATGCTTTATGGTAGTCCTCTATAAAAGACGATCTCCCAATATCTGGACATAGACTATGGCATTGAGCACTTCAACTTACTTCTGGTAGAAGATGAGCGTGAAGAGGCGCCAGAGCAGACCCAAAATGGTGACGACCAACAGGAATGAATACCAGAACCAGAGTATGGTGTAGATCTTCTCGTTCATGATATTCAGTGCCATGACACAGAGCGTATCGTGCTCTTGGAGCGAGCCAGCCGAGCCATATTTGTAGAACGTGCATTTGGTGACTTTGGGAAAGACCACGTCGAGTGCATCCATTTTATCGACCCAACGTTCGCGTAGCACCTTCACGCCCAACGTGAGAAACTCGCGTCCAAGAAACCGATTCGTCCAATAGATTTGTATGCACAGATTCAACAAATTGAGCAGCTCGGCAAAGACCAAATGTGCACCCCAAGATTGATTCAGACGCATCCGATCGATCATAGTGCGTCGTATATTGATCACGCGATCCTCCACCTCCGCCATCGAGGGTATATTCAGTTTGCCAATACGCATGCTATCGTTCTTCAGGTACTTGGTCAGCCCAACCATGCGCAAGCCATAGACCAAGGCCTTGACGCGTCCACCCTCCAGTTTCTTCCAGAGCGCGTGCGGCAAGTAGAAGCACAGCGCCTGCCCGAACAGCACAAAGGGCACCCACTGATAGTAGGCGTGCCTTTTGATCACATCCTCCTTGCGATTGTAGGGTCCGATGCCCGGCTGGAAAATGGAGCCGGAGTCTAGCGCCGTGTTGTTCAGGTGACGCACCTGTGTTTGGTTAAATCAAGCAGTTGCATGGCATTTTAGTTATTTCGAAAGATGTGGCAACCCTTAAGATAAACAATTATGTTGTGGCCTCTATAATTCACAATCAGTTAAAGCGCGCACTTTATCAAGCACAAAGTGCTTACGATTAGGCAACTCTTTCAAATATTTGGTTCATTTGCTTGTTGCCAGAAGGCAAAAAACTAGCTGAATCTTAGACAGAAAAAAGCTAAAAATAGCTAAATAAGCTTTCCGACCAACAAACATAGCTAGTATCTGTCGCTGAGCTGTCAAAAAGCACGCTAAATAGCGTCAAATATTTCCGGCTGATCTCTGTTAATAGCCAAATCTGGCTGGCAAAAAGCTGAATTAACTTGTTTACTTAATGGAACTGAGATGTAAATAAATGCTGGCAATATAGCTCACAAGATAAGCAAGAGTCGAGCCGATATACCCAATATATTGTATCCGAGGAAGATTAAGTTCTTAAGACTGAGACTGAGACTGAGTCTGTCTCTTAGGGAACACAGAATGGATCATGAGCAAGCCTTTAAATTCCATCAATGCACACTTACCACTGTGAATGTGGGCGTAAAGAAGCAGAATGTATTTATAACGGGCGCGACTACATTATCGGATATGCACTGTATATGCTCGCCAATGTATTGGCGTGAGGTTATCAACAGGGTTGCCACCAGCAGCAGCACAAAGGTCCAGCGATAGTGTAGCTTGAACACAATGTTATCGATAACCACGCGCGATATATCGAACTTGAGGTATTGCTTAACCGAACTGAAGGTGCCCAACATGATGTTAACTTTCTACGGCCGAAAGCCAACCCTGTTCAGCGCTTGTTATCAGGCCCGCGATATAATCGAACGGTTTAATATATTTAAAACAAAAATATTTATATGTTTTATTTATTAATTTATTTTTTTTTTTATTTTCGTGCGAGCAGCTCCTCGTATCGTTGCTGTTGTTGACGGACTGTAAGGCTTTTTAAGTTTTAACGTCGTTTGGCCGGCCGATCGAGCGAATGTACGGCTAGACCTTATCAACAGCCAGCAGACCAACCCCTTGGCAGCTGGAGGAGGGGTGCGGGCGGGGGCGGGGCTATCCCTAGCCAGCCACTTGGGAGCGAAAAGTAAGGCAACGATAAGATAAATTCAACTGAAAATAACAAAAAGACAAAGAAAAAGAGTTAAGCACATTAATTGAGTTTAATAATGATACCCTGTAAGCGCATTGAAAATGCCTGAGCTAGGGTATGTTGGTTTTGAGTAAATGGGCAAAAGGAGGCATGTCCGAGCCGAAATATATATATATATATGTATGTATATGGTTGATCAGGACGACGAGCTGAAGACGTATATACAGATATATACATATATACAGCTTTTCAGTTTTTATCGATATTTTGTCACCATTTTCAATATATCGATAAGAAATCGATTTTTTGTAAACTTGGTCAAAAACTTTAAGAGTTTTGTTATGCATGCGCTTTTATGGGATAAAAAGATGAGGTATATTACAATCCATTTGGATACCTCGCCCCATTTCCGTCCAAAATCGTTCAGAATAACATGCTTCTAAAGTAAGAGCCTTATCTTTGAATCATATGCACATAGGAGTGCCATATATATGCTCGCGAAACTCCAATAAGATCTGCTTACAAACATAGAAGTTATTCTGAACTCGTTTGTCAATAAATCAAACTGATCTCAGGCACTGTAATAGAGCTAGAGCTAGCAAAATTGTTATGTAGATGCCCAAACGTCTTATTAAGATTAATTCGTTCAAGCATTTGCAATTATTGGCAAAATTCTTTCGTTATGAAAATAGAGAAAATTGCACAAAAAATGCAATTTTTCATTTTATAAACTTACAAACAGGGTATCTTTCCACTGAAGTAGCTAAGCTTGATACTTGAGTCGCATAGCGCTAGGGTGCTCCGCCCATGGCAAGCACACACTCAAGAGAGCGCTACCAAGTAACTTTTGGTCGGTAAACCCTCTCAAGACATGTGCTCGATATTTATGGAAGTAGAATACATTTTTGATTGGCAAGACAGTGTGTCCTCCTTGCCTAGCCAATGGGTTCTAATCGAGTGTCGTTTTTAACTCAACAGCAACATGCTTGTTGCAGACACCTCTGCTCTTGGCCATTTATTGTCTATCATGACATTGCACTCTCGACGTGGGCGACATAAATATGGATCCATATCAGTGCTCGGTTGGCGCCAATAGCTTAAGCTTTTAGCTTTTAGGGAAGTCCGTCAAAAAGATAATAGGGACAAGCTAAACCTTCAATGGGGAGAAGAGAACCCAAAATGGAGAAAAAAAGGGAAGAGCATGTTTCGCTGATCCTATATAGAATTTAGTAATATTCTTGATCACGAACGACAAGCTGGGTTATTCTAGCCATCTGTCTGTCTTTCTGTCTGCCTGTGAGAAGAACCAAAGCTAGGGACCTGAAGCTTCAAATATGTTTTCAGCTTAATCACACGCAGAATGGGTTTATCTTATTTTCTATCGATATTTTCTGCCATTTTTGATATACCAATAATTATCGCTTTCGAAACATGGCTGTTTAAGCATTGCTCAAAAGTAAAAGCGCGCTCGATTCACTTAAAAAAAAAAGCTAAAAGTTTTCCATAACAATTCTAAAAAGTTCTTTGGTTGCTTGTTTGTCTAGTTATCGGCAGGACTTAGATACTTCCCAGAGCTGGGATACATCTTTATTCCTTGAAACTCTGGCTAACATTTTGGAAGGAGGAAAGGAATGGGGAAGCAAACGTTCAACTGGGCCGTCATAATTTTGCTACAAAATATTGGAAACAAATATTTGACAAAATCTTTAGCTAAGAGATGTGAGTTTTAATAGCAGTAAATGATCTGTAGAGGTAGAGATACAGATACAGATATAGATACAGATACATATACAGATATAGATAAAGATGCAGATAGAGAAATGTGTAACGCCTATAAGGAGACACCTCTGATTCCATAAAGTATATATATTCTAGATAAGCCGAGCTGATATAGCCCATGCCCATCTGTTTCTCTGTCTGTCGTCTAGTCCCTCAGCCTTGAAGCCTCGGCCTGCTAGGATATACTCACTCTCTCGTTATTTTATTCTCAATATCGGGGCTTGAAGTTCATGCCGAAACATTAAATATGGCTGTGACCCCATTATAGGCCGTTGTTATCAGCGACAATTGACGAGTTGTCGAGTGCACTTTGGATGAGCGCAGCTGACACAGATTGGTCTTGGGGAATTTTCGTATTGTTATTTAATTTTGTGCACAACTGTTTGCTAGTCTTGCCTTTGATCTTGGCTGGCGATTGAGGCCTAGTGACTCGTACTAGCGCCCGTTTGCGTCATGGCTGATTCATGTTGGGCACTTGCGATATCTTGGCAGCTAACGGAACTAATTAGCCAGCCGGCAATGCGAACAACATTATCAAAAATCAAAGAACTATGCCATGAGGCATGCTCCTCCGCGTCGCATTTACAGCAAGGCTGCGTCAACGCTTGCCTAGAATGTGTTCAGGTAATCGTGACAAGTCAATATTTGGCCAGTGCTGCCAGATGCTTGTCACTGACAACATAAAATATATGGTATATATACACCCAGTACTTATCTCACTGGGACTATCTTTGAGTGCTTCATCTCTATTTATAATATTATCTTTGTTTGTTTCGGCTGGTAAGATATCATGCATTGGGCTGAAGCAAAAGTTGGGTAGGTTCAGACAGACCCATAGAGTATCCAGTTTTCATTTATCTTGTGAATATATCTAAGCTTATTTCCAGGTGTATCTGTAAATGTATCTGTATCTGTATCTGTATCTGTATCTGTATCTGTATCTGTATCTGTATCTGTATCTGTATCTGTATCTGTATCTGTATCTGTATCTGTATCTGTATCTGTATCTGTATCTGTATCTGTATCTGTATCTGTATCTGTATCTGTATCTGTATCTGTATCTGTATCTGTATCTGTATCTGTATCTGTATCTGTATCTGTATCTGTATCTGTATCTGTATCTGTATCTGTATCTGTATCTGTATCTGTATCTGTATCTGTATCTGTATCTGTATCTGTATCTGTATCTGTATCTGTATCTGTATCTGTATCTGTATCTGTATCTGTATCTGTATCTGTATCTGTATCTGTATCTGTATCTGTATCTGTATCTGTATCTGTATCTGTATCTGTATCTGTATCTGTATCTGTATCTGTATCTGTATCTGATCTGTATCTGTATCTGTATCTGTATCTGTATCTGTATCTGTATCTGTATCTTATCTGTATCTGTATCTGTATCTGTATCTGTATCTGTATCTGTATCTGTATCTGTATCTGTATCTGTATCTGTATCTGTATCTGTATCTGTATCTGTATCTGTATCTGTATCTGTATCTGTATCTGTATCTGTATCTGTATCTGTATCTGTATCTGTATCTGTATCTGTATCTGTATCTGTATCTGTATCTGTATCTGTATCTGTATCTGTATCTGTATCTGTATCTGATCTGTATCTGTATCTGTATCTGTATCTGTATCTGTATCTGTATCTGTATCTGTATCTGTATCTGTATCTGTATCTGTATCTGTATCTGTATCTGTATCTGTATCTGTATCTGTATCTGTATCTGTATCTGTATCTGTATCTGTATCTGTATCTGTATCTGTATCTGTATCTGTATCTGTATCTGTATCTGTATCTGTATCTGTATCTGTATCTGTATCTGTATCTGTATCTGTATCTGTATCTGTATCTGTATCTGTATCTGTATCTGTATCTGTATCTGTATCTGTATCTGTATCTGTATCTGTATCTGTATCTGTATCGGTATTGATCTGTATCTGTATCTGTATCTGTATCTGTATATGTATCTGTATCTGTATCTGTATCTGTATCTGTATCTGTATCTGTAATCTGTATGTAGCTGTATCTGTATCTGTATCTGTATCTGTATCTGTATCTGTATCTGTATCTGTATCTGTATCTGATATCGGTATCTGTATCTGTATCCTGTATCTGTATCGGTATCTGTATCTGTATCTGTATCTGTCTCTGTATCTGTATATATCTGTATCTGTATCTGTATCTGTATCTGTATCGGTATCTGTATCTGTATCGTAATCGTATCTGTATCTGTATCTGTATCTGTATATGATCTGATGTATCTGTATCTGTATCTGTTCTGTATCTGTATTCTGTATCTGTATCTGTATCTGTATCTGTATCGTATCTGTATCTGTATCTGTATCTGTATCTGTATCTGATCTGTATCTGTATCTGTATCTGTATCTGTATCTGTATCTGTATCTGTATCTGTATCTGTATCTGTATCGTATCTGTATCTGTATCTGTATCTGTATCTGTATCTGTATCTGTATCTGTATCTGTATCTGTATCTGTATCTGTATCTGTATCTGTATCTGTATCTGTATCTGTATCTGTATCTGTATCTGTATCTGTATCTGTATCTGTATCTGTATCTGTATCTGTATCTGTATCTGTATCTGTATCTGTATCTGTATCTGTATCTGTATCTGTATCTGTATCTGTATCTGTATCTGTATCTGTATCTGTATCTGTATCTGTATCTGTATCTGTATCTGTATCTGTATCTGTATCTGTATCTGTATCTGTATCTGTATCTGTATCTGTATCTGTATCTGTATCTGTATCTGTATCTGTATCTGTATCTGTATCTGTATCTGTATCTGTATCTGTATCTGTATCTGTATCTGTATCTGTATCTGTATCTGTATCTGTATCTGTATCTGTATCTGTATCTGTATCTGTATCTGTATCTGTATCTGTATCTGTATCTGTATCTGTATCTGTATCTGTATCTGTATCTGTATCTGTATCTGTATCTGTATCTGTATCTGTATCTGTATCTGTATCTGTATCTGT